CAAATTCGTCAACTCGGCATTCGGGCCTCAGTGAGCTTGGTCCAAGAGCTGGGCTTCCCAAGAACCGGTTCTCTTGTTCTTGTAGTTTTGAATACACATACATACATATGCACAACACACATACATACACACACATATACATACCTGCAGATATTATTCGCTGTAATACGTAATAAGGGACGAACCTTCGAAAATTCTTTCTTTTCCTCTAAATTGCGACGTCTGCTTGGACGCGTCACTGGTTCGGATTTGACTGCTACAGCCGTTGCTGTTGATCGACGACTGCTGAAATGATGATGCTAAGTTTACATCGTAACAAGGACGATTATCAAAACTCGGCTCGGCTCAGATCTCCTTGTGAAGTTTGCTTTCGTTTGTGAGATTGGACGCAAGCTGCGAAATTCACAGCCGTGCTAGAAATTAAGTTCTTCGCTGAGGTAAGATTTTAGGTGTCGTCTTGCAAAAGGAACAAGGTGCTGATAGCAAAGAAGCGAAGCTGCCGGCTAAACCTCTCTACCTCGCCCAGTTACCCTTCGATTCCATGTGATATGCAAATATCCCGTCTCCTGACTCGAGTTGCCCCTCCGTGACATATAATGAAGTTATTAGAAATGAAACAGGGATTGTTTTTCTGGTTCAAATAATTGTGCGGCAGCATCCTTGAGCTTCCAAGAGGAGCTCCTCCGGGAGTTGCAGTCGAGCACAAGCCTACTAGCCATTCCCAGTATCAAGTTTCTTGCTGAACAAAATAAACCCATACAATAACCCCTCCCCCTCCCCACCTCGTCTTCAAATTTTACTACTCCTAGCAAAGTCCCCTTTCAGAAACTTCAAAACTGAGTGCACACTGCGGGTTTGAGTAGTAGCTGCTAAAAATCCTCTGGTCATTTTTCGTGGTTCAGTTTGCCCAGGACTTCATTTCATTTCACAGGATTCGATTTCTCAAGTTCTGAGGCTTTTTGCAGCACCGAAAAGGTGAAAAACCCCCTAATAATACTACTGAAACCTAATCGTCGTATTAAAGACTGTTGAAACTAATACATGTGAAGAAACTGGCTAAAATGTACTACTGAAATCCAAGAATAACTTCCCAGACTACTCCTGCGAAGGTGAATTTTTTTTTTCAGAGCTAACCTTCTACGCTTTGGTGTTGTTTCCTTTTCAAAACTGGCATCGTCTGCACCACTTTTTTCATCATCAGACGATTCCTTTCTCGTGCGTTTCGCAGCTCGAGAACCTTTTCGTGATTTCACGGGTCCTGCACTTTCCGAGCTCTCATCACGCTGCCGCTTTTTTTTGCCCTGCAAAAAAAGATATCACGAACTACTGCAGATAATGATACTTTATTTGCGATACCGCAACAATGCCATGCTTCACTACTGCTGCGGTTATAACGTAGAGTCTCAGCTTGCTTATAACATTGGCGGATACAAGGGAGGAAGGGTTTTTCGCCCCCCCCCCGCGTTCCTCCCATCTTCCCCGCCCTTAGCCGCACAGGCATTTGTGGCGCAAAGCTCGGGTCTTTTCACAAATAAAACTAAAGTAACTCTAAGTAGCAGTGTTACAAATCTATTCCTAGTTTTTGCATAGTCCCGTGGTGGAAGAGGGCTCTCCTTCCTTACTCCTCTTTCCTTAGAAGCCCGTCCTGAATCCGCCCTCAAGGCTTCTTTTTACCGGTAATAAAAAGTGAGTAAAATTTAATCTAAAAAAAAAGAGATTTTCCTCCAAACATTCATCCTCAACCGATAAGTCCTATTATTCCCCTTCACTCAGATGTACACAATTACTACGGCTATTTCGATAAAACCACTAACCTTGCTTTTCGATTTCGATCGACGCTGACCGGACTTTTGT